TCCTCTGATGAGCCTAAACCTCTTGGAAATAGCTACCAAATACTTCTTGTTTCTCATGATTTTCTTGGTGATGTGGGCTCGTCACTAAATCTATGGTTTAGTTAGTCATATGCAGGTTCTTCTGATCTGTCTGTTTCACTATTCAGTGCAGTCTATGTGGAATTCACAAACAATAATGATTAGCATTTGCTCTGAAAATAAATCTGCTGTTTAGCTATTCCACTGCAAAGGACATTGTTGTGATAGTTATGCTTGCACTGGTTGTGTGTGTGAGGTCAAATGCTTACTGTGATTTCTTTCGCATACATTTATGAATGTGTTATGTTCTAGTTTCCCCGTCGCCAAATTGTTATGTACTCGTCGCTAAATTATTGTTATGGACTGGTCGAGAAACTAATAGTCCTGACGCGAGAAGGCGGAAATCAGAAGACCACTAGGTTTGCGATGATACTTCTATTGTCCAAACACAAGGAGACGAAAATAAATGGTCTCACACCAAAGTGGTAAGCAAGTCAAGTAGTTGTAAAGTAAAGTAGTTCACACAAATTGTGAATGCGAATATATATAAATAATTCAGACAAGCGTGGGAAAAATCATTAGACAGTCTTAACATGAATGGCTAATTATAATGGAGTGTCGATCCAATTATACATAGCGAATATAGCAGACATGCCAACAAACATATATGGATATATGTCACCAAGCAACGGACTGTCAACAAACACTCATATTATATATAATATAATATAAGGAGAATACACATTATTAAAGGAGACAAGTCCATACAAGTGAAGTGGTCACAGACTAACCGAGCAAACAGAAAGAGAGACCAACATGCACACACACACATAAATATATATATGTGGATACATATCACCTCCCCTTTTGAGAAGATGAATGATTAGTAGGATGTTTACCTGGGGGTTTATCTGGGACCTTTGGGCTTGTTGTTGACGCCTGTCGTTTCGTCTGATTGTTGGGTTTGCGGCTTCGGCTCCGTCCGGAATTGTCTAGCATTTTATGCTTCTTCACTGTATTGCGTAGAGAATTTAGTGGGACATCAGCCAGATGCAAACGATCGAACCAATCAAGTCCCAAAACATTTAAATCATTCTTCGTGACGTAACAAATTCCTGTGAATTTGGTATTGCGGAAGGAAACAGAACATTTGAGTTCACCAATTAGTTTGAGCCGCCCACCACAGGCGCTGACAAGAGACTGGGAAGTATTGGTGATAGGTGGTCTGCCAATATAATTCCAAAGTTTCTCTGATATAACAGTAATATCAGAGGCGGTATCTAGCTGCAGACGGGCATCATGACCATTCATCTGAAGATCAAGATATTTCCGCATACCTGGTGTTGTGACTTGACGGGTTGCGCGTAGACTCAATGACTTTTTGGGGATTTAGGACCAACATTTTGTTGAGCTTTTGCTGGATTTTGACATCTGGGTTGCGTGGCTGACAAAAACCATTTTTGTGACCGATGATCTTGCACTTGCTGCAACGATGATTTTTGTATGGACAAGACTTTACAAAGTGCCACGCGCCACAATGCCAGCATGGTGATGGAGGGGTCTTCTTTGTCGTATTTTGTGAAGTTGGACGAGTATTTGTAGATTTCCGCGGAACATTAGGAGAAGTAGGTGGGTCAGGAGTAGCTGATGAGAGATTTTTGCTCTTTCGTAATGCACGAATATCAGAGCTTCTCGGAGGTGTTGATTCGACCAGGTGTGTGTCTTTCTGCAGATTAATCAGCCGTTGATATTCATCAGCTATGTCATGTAATGTTAACTTGGGATTTTGTTCTAGCTGATTGAGCAGTCGAGTTCGGATATCTGTGAAACGAGGAGATTGGAGACTGCATATGAGAATCAAGGCTTTGAACTGATCATCTGTTAAGGACCTGAGTCGAAATCTCTCACATTCTCGGTTGACTGTGCCAACGTGAGTAAGAAAATCATCATTTTCATTCATTGCCAGCTTGAGGCAACGATAACGTATACTGAATAATGAGGAGTGGTCTCCGAAATGTTCACGCAGCAACTTTATTGTATCATCGAAACAATTGTCACGTGGTTTCTGTGGTAAAATTAGGTTGCAGTACCGTTCATATTCTGCCGGACCCAATTTACGTAGCAAAACTCGCACCTTCCAGGCATCGTCTTGTGAGGCGAGATCAACAGTGAATAAATCCTCATAACGTTGATACCATGTGTCAAAAGTGACATTAGCCTCTGGGTCATAATTGAACTGTGAAATGCTGTTCACAATTCCGTCGACAGATGGTAGCATGGTATGATTGGGATTGCTTGAAGGTGGAGCTGGACCAGTCTGTTGGTTGACGAACATTTCCATTAATTTCATTTGTCGTTCAAACAATAATTCCAATTTAATAGGATCCATAGTAAATTGTTATGTTGTTGCTGCTGTGTGGTTAATAGTAGTTTTCCCCGTCGCCAAATTGTTATGTACTAGTTTCCCCGTCGCCAAATTGTTATGTACTCGTCGCTAAATTATTGTTATGGACTGGTCGAGAAACTAATAGTCCTGACGCGAGAAGGCGGAAATCAGAAGACCACTAGGTTTGCGATGATACTTCTATTGTCCAAACACAAGGAGACGAAAATAAATGGTCTCACACCAAAGTGGTAAGTAAGTCAAGTAGTTGTAAAGTAAAGTAGTTCACACAAATTGTGAATGCGAATATATATAAATAATTCAGACAAGCGTGGGAAAAATCATTAGACAGTCTTAACATGAATGGCTAATTATAATGGAGTGTCGATCCAATTATACATAGCGAATATAGCAGACATGCCAACAAACATATATGGATATATGTCACCAAGCAACGGACTGTCAACAAACACTCATATTATATATAATATAATATAAGGAGAATACACATTATTAAAGGAGACAAGTCCATACAAGTGAAGTGGTCACAGACTAACCGAGCAAACAGAAAGAGAGACCAACATGCACACACACACATAAATATATATATGTGGATACATATCAGAATGACTTATGTCGATTTCATACTGGTCTAATGTTTTTTATTTTTCTCTTGTTTCATCATCTTTCAGCTGTATCCTACCCTTGTTTTATCATCATTGTTATTATGTGTGGTATTTTAATGCGTATTTAACTGTCTGTAGTTTTTAGACAATAACTATCAAACATGCAATCAAACAAATATCCCTACAAAACCAATACATGAAAATTAATCTGCTGCACACTAGCGACTGGCCCTGGGATTCTAGTGGAAAGCTGTGACCAGTAGGGTACAACAGGTTGAAGATGAGGCAGTAACTCATCAAAGAAGACATTGCGAAGTGGTCGCGATATATCGTGAATTAGTTAGAATTGAAGGACCATTGGATCGGGTCCCAGTGGCTCAATGGTCTACGATCTCGCCTTGTAACCAGAAGGTCCTGGGTTCAAACCCCCTGTGGTGGAGGGTGCGTACTGATGAACAGTCCCAAACTAGGCTGACAAAATGGCTGTCCAGTACTCCCAGGTTTTCCAGTGGTTCTCTAACTGATGTCAGCTCATGATGAAATCATCCATACATTTTTTGTATCAGTCAATAGGTCCTATTGTGAATGATTTCTAAAAGGCACTATTATGTAACGCTCTACTATGACTTCTTTTTATTATTGTGCTGGTTATTTTTAAACTTGCTGTTTTTAACATACTTAGTCACACTTCACCTCAACAGAAAAGATGATAACATGCTATTGAAATCTTGATACCTTTTGGTTTTCATATGTATAGAGTGTTGTCTGAGGTGTAAATTACTAGTTTTGACTTCTATTCTATTATAAATTTCATTTCTATTCCAGGTAAAGTGATTTGTTGATATTTGTGATTGCCCTTTCGATGTATAAATCGAATTGATAAGTCTCATTTTGATATTATACGTAGCTTGAACAGATGCCTCGACATTATTCTGATTGCTAACTTCAGGTTACTGACATTACGGTGGCTAGCAGTGGTCGAGTGTTTCGTCGTATTCGAGACTTGTCGTCAGCTGGCTGTATTTTCTGTTCCCAGTTGAGTGAGACTAACACCTAGCAGTCATCTTTTTAAATACCAAAGCCTTATTCACTCGGTTATTGAGTCACGAGAGTCACCTCATATTTAGATGAATATTAGCATAAAATGAAATGAAACATGATCTATGTGTTATAACCCACAATACGTGAACTTGTGCACAGGAATGTTGAATTTCATTACTACATGTGTACGTGTCGTAAATATTATCGATTTATTTAGAGGATTTCTTTCTTTAGGTAACCTCACATTAGGGCCAAGTCAAACTTTGAGCACCGCTAGCTGCCAATCGGCGGATGACCTTGAGTGGTCCAATGAGTTTCATCCGTGTGAGTTAAAGTTTCTATTCCGCTTGATTCGAGTTAAATGCCTGTTGTAACGCAGTTGCTCTTGCACTTTGCTGAGGATAAGGTTTTCCAGTATTGCTTAGGAAGGAAAGGATTTGTTCATTTTGATGTATCATGAGTATAAAAAGCTTCAGCTTCAGCAGGTCGATTGATGTATATGTCCATCGTTGTGCAATTTGTTTGAGACGAGTTAGTGTCAGGAAAGGTAAGCTGATGATTCTAATATTTCGTAGGAACATTTTTTGCCAGGTCTCATCTGTCTTTAACCCAGATTTTGTTTATTTGTAATTATTGGTCTTTAAAACAGCCTGTGAGAGGTGCAGCTGCTGAAACTGAAAATAGCCTCGTATCGACAGTTTAGTGGTACCAATACTATAGAGACAGGGATCTATAATACACACCGATAAGTGGAAAGGTTATAACTCCCCTGTCATCCCTTGGATATATTCACAACATACTTAACTATTCTGATGATTTGAAAAAAAATTTTCCTGCACAGTACACCGTTTCTTTTAATTTGTAAGCAGCAAAATATCTCTTAACAACTTTTAAAGACAAATTTACTTCTTTTTGTTTTTTATATTTTCTAGTCGAAGTCAAGAATCTTTGTTATCCTATTCATCGAATTTAAGTTCAGTATCACGATCCTATCGTACACAGCCTGGTAACAATGGACTTCAGGTAGGTTTGTCTAGATAATAACATCAAGTTACTTTATTTCTTCTGTCATAGATAGTTTGGACAATAGTACTTAGTAGTAGTAGTAGTTACCGAAACAGCCGCATATTTTAGTGAGGTTAGAATAAAAAAAACTTGATGGTTAACATTGATGCACTCAGTCTCAAGCTTGTCACTTGCCGAAACAAAACCAGTGAGTGAATTGACCTGCATTACTATAAACGATTTTGAGCTATACCATAAACAGTCTCTAGTCATTGGTTGTTGGCATCTAAAAAACACCTCAGTCAAGCAGTGTCTACACATTTCTATATGGTTCAAATGAACAGTCAAAAAAAAAGAAAAACTTTATGAAGTGATACCATGCTTTGATTTGACTGCGTGCTTAACTCCTTTCCAGCCAACATTGCTGGACGAGGAAAGCAAGGGTTTGACGTGTGTAGCACGTATCCTAATCATCTGAGTCGATGTAATTTATAACCTTGTCGATTGATTTTCCCACCTTACCACCTAGTATTCTACGCCAAACCTCTTAATATGTTTTGCTTTTCATCTAGAAATATTTCTCTTTATGTGTTTAACACTTCAGTTTTACTGTAGTGTAGTGAACCAATAATATTTTATATTATTGTCAGTCCTAATAGTTCTGACTATTGGTGTATCTGCCTGATGACGGTTGGAGAGTTCTCATAACATAACCTAAAATCATCAGTGATGGTGCAAAAGCATTCACTCATTAGTACTATATTCTTCAAATTTAGATAAACTTTTATATGGATTATGAGATTTTTGGGAATCCGGATTAATTTCATTTGTTAGATTTCGTCACGCCTCGAGATCTGTTGGAGATCATCGAAAACCAATGAGTACTGGAAAGTTAATTTGCCCTAGTTGAGGATCCTTCGTCAGTTCGCATCGCATGACCCCCACCATAGGTCTTACCCCAGGACTCTCAGGTTATGAGAGTAGGCTCGTTGACGATTCAGTCAATTAGGCTAGAATTCAATGAACCGTGAATTCCAACTTTGTTCGTGTTTAATTCACAAGCACAGTGGTTTAGGTTAAAGGAAGTTTCTTCATCTGACAACAGACTCCTGATACTGTTGGATTTGTTTCAGTTCTCTGACCAGTTTACTGAAATAGTGAACTTTTAACTAAGCAATTATAGATTTCAACAATGATCTACCCTTTTATGTTAGAGTAGTTAATTAGTATCAATATTCTTGTGGTACATACTACAATACACAGACTTATATCCGTTTGTTAACTTGCTTTTATCAAATTATTGTATGAATTTATACGTAATTATGATTCCATTATGTGTAAAATTTGTTTTGATAAAGTCTCACATTGTTATACGGCAATATTTAATGATGACCTTTCTGTAGGTTAAAGGACCCTGTTGGCCCAACTAGACAAAATAATATAATTTACAAAATAACCTGCAATGACTGAGTTAGGTAAACTACATAGGTCAAACTAAGTAGGTCAGGGGTAGTCAGATTGTCGGGACATAAGAATTTAGCTAAGGCCATGATGGTTGACCCCGAGAAGATAAGGAATTTGGAAAAAAGCTCAACAATCGCACTGCATTCATCAACACACAACCACACAATAGGGTGGAAGAGGGTTAAAATTCTAAAAAGTAATCTAGGTAGGTGGAGAGTGAGGTTGATTACTGAATCTTTGTTCATCCAGTCTACATGCAACACATTCAATAGGAATGACTCATCACTCCTCCCGGAAATATGGAGAATACTACTACCAATCAAGTCATCAAGCGATGAAAAATAATGGAATTATATGAACGAAGTTAGGAAGTCGTGTGAGCACCTTGATATGATTATGAGCAGCAATAAAATGTGCTCGAAACGTCTTCAGTAAACATTACTGTATAACACTGTGAGACTTTATCAAAAACAAAATTTTACCCATAATGGTATTATACTCTATCACAGTGCACAAGTTATATTCTTATATCAATGATACGTCATTATGAGTTTAAATTATCTCATTTCAACTTTCATATTGACGTTACTAGTAATACTGATATAACAATTTGTTTTCCCAAAATTTAAAAGGGTCGTAATAGCCTAAGTGGAAATCGAAAATCTATGACCTCGATGAATGGTGCCAATCGTAGAGAAAACGCCTCAAACTTACTAACACTCCAAGTAAGGCATGTTACTTCTTGTTGTACTGGTTAATCTCTATATTAATGAATCCTACATAAAGAGCTTTGAAGAAAATTTGGTTGGTTGGGGTTGCATGCTTCGAAACAGTTTTCTCCAAACTTAATCGTACTTCATTCAGGAAGCATTGGTCGTTGGGAGGGGTCTAATGCTATAGGGCTACCAATAGAAGAGGTCATGTTTGTGATACGGTTGTGTCTGACTTGTGGAGTTTCTTTTTGTTTTTGTTTCAGGGCAAAATACATAAACAAAAGCAATCAGTTGTCTTGGGGGTCATGATTATTGCTAATTGTGTGAGTTGCGTTTCTGGATAGTTGAGAAAAGGTAGGTAGCTGTTTAGATAGTCGTTCAGCGAAAATTTAGCTGTGATATGTAGATGAAGAATTGCAACGAAAGAGAACACTAATATCTCCAAAACCCTACATATTATCCAACTGATACTTGAACATTAAGTCATCCTGAAAAAAAGGGACTTCGCATAATGTCCAGGTAATAAGTTAAAAGAGTTAAACCATTACAATGTGAAATCTACTTTAGGAAATAAGACACGTGAAAGCAAATCTTGTTGCGTAGTAGTCATGTCGACAAGTGCATACAAAAGTACATAAAAATATATAGAACTAGAAATTGAACAATAAAAATTAGTAATACATACTAATAGCATACACAATAACACACTAAGCAACACTGGAAAGAAATATCTTGAAATACTTTCAGAACTTGACATGGGAGCAATTAAACTCACAAGCTTAGGATAATTATCAAATAAAATCTATCAGAGTGATAACATGTGTAGCTGCACAATTAAATTATTCTTCCGGTGTGCTAGAAACTGCGTATATATGCTCAAGTATTCAGCAGTTTACCAAGTATGTTGCTAAAGCCTTGGAAGACTTAGTAAGGTTCGAATCTCTGAGGAGACATGACTGGTAAGTGTCAACAAGCACGAAACCTAGGTCAAAGGCTTCCTTCCGAATACTTCCAGCCATCTAACAACATTGTCATGGTGAGCTACCTAGTTTGGTGACCACATTACAAACCTTACTGACGAAATTCAGTCTCTACCAAACTAAGGACTAGATACCTGACATCGATTACTACCTGATGACCAATAAAAGTATCCACTAGACTCCTACAGGAGGTTAATCGAGAGCACGAGCAGCTGAGTGGTAACGTTTGTGACTATCGCACTGAGTTACGCGGTTTCGAACCTGTTATAATTGTAGGGTATTGAATGATAGACGTTTTCACCTTATTCTGTCTGCGCCTGAACTAATCTGTCTATCTCCTCGTCGTACCTTCCGACTTAGCAAAGCACGCAAATATCAAAAGACAAAGGCTGGACTGTGACTGTGTATTGAAGTGCAACAACGATAAAGAAAGCCATGGTATTTATACATTTTACAACAATATGGACAGCTAACAGCATTTGAAATAATTGACCTTAATAGCCAATAACAAAGTGTGTGAGAAATGCTAATATGCCATATGTGCGACATTGACAGTCAGTAACAAAATGTGTGGGAATGATATACCATATATACAAAATTAGCAGTCACTACCAAAATGCGTGAGAATGACAATATACAAAATTAACAGTCACTACCAAAATGCGTGTGAATGATAATATACAAAATTAGCAGTCAATACCAAAATGTGTGAGAATGATAACATACCATTTATGCAAGTTTAAACAGTCAATACCAAAATATGTGGGATCCTATCACCTTCCCCCGTAAAGAGTGTAGGACTTGCTTTTTGGATGTATTTGCAAAGGTTTCGGAGCTCTTCTTTGTCGAGTTGACCTTTGCGTGGTACTGGATAGAGCGTGATCTGTATGTCTGCCACATAACTGTCCTTTTTCATTCGTACGATAATGCAGCAAGAATTTATCCAAAATTTTTTCTGTTGTTCCCTCCCCCTTCGCTTTTGCATAAGCACGCTTAAAGGTGTCGACGAAACGTTCAGTAATAGTTGACGTAGGAGGGACACTGTTACAATTGATGTGGCAGAATGCATAGGAAATATCTCTGGCCATTTGGAAAACGCGTCGACACATATTAAGAAATGCATACTATTGAACGGTCCAGCGAAGTCAACATGAACACGGGACCATGGTTTGTCCGGTCGTGGCCAGGAACATAGTTCTGTCTTGCGTGGACACTTTGATGCTTGAGCACATTTACTACACTTGCGAACGAGGTCTTCGATATGGTCATCGATGTTGGGCCAGTAAACATAACTGCGAGCGATCGCCTTCATTCTCCCAACACCAGGATGTGATATATGAAGCTGCCGAAGCACATGGTCACGAAGATTAGCTGGAACGACAACACGATCAGCAAACATTATGCATCCATTAACGATGGATAGGGATTTGCGTCGCTGGTAAAACTGTTTTAAAACATTTGAATGAACATGTGGAGGCCAGCCAAATCGGATGAACTTTGATACTTGCTGTAAAACTGGATCACGCAGTGTGTGTCTGGCAACCTCAACTGCAGTCACCGGAAGATCGTCCAGAGAGATAGACATTATAATTGGGTTGTAATTAACACAGTCAAAAATGTTATATAGTTGCACTGAACAGAATGAAAACTGTCGTCGTTGCGTGCTATAACTGTGATGAATTAAAGTAAATCCCCGTCGCCAATTGTTATATCTGTAGGGGATTGAATGATGATGTTTTCACCTTATTCTGTCTGCGCCTGAACTAATCTGCCTATCTCCTCGTCGTACCTTCCGACTTAGCAAAGCACGCAAATATCAAAAGACAAAGGCTGGACTGTGACTGTGTATTGAAGTGCAACAACGATAAAGAAAGCCATGGTATTTATACATTTTACAACAATATGGACAGCTAACAGCATTTGAAATAATTGACCTTAATAGCCAATAACAAAGTGTGTGAGAAATGCTAATATGCCATATGTGCGACATTGACAGTCAGTAACAAAATGTGTGGGAATGATATACCATATATACAAAATTAGCAGTCACTACCAAAATGCGTGAGAATGACAATATACAAAATTAACAGTCACTACCAAAATGCGTGTGAATGATAATATACAAAATTAGCAGTCAATACCAAAATGTGTGAGAATGATAACATACCATTTATGCAAGTTTAAACAGTCAATACCAAAATATGTGGGATCCTATCAGAACCGCAGTGAACTTTAGTTTTCTTCAAGATTACAGAGGCGCCTTGCTGACTAGTGAGTGTCAAGAAGCATGAAATTTAGGTCCCAGGGTTCTTAACGATCGCCTCCAACCATCTGATACTCATGATTCATTACTGTTTGTAAATTTTGTCTAGATGATATAAGCCACAGCTTTGGTGTAATATGCAAACAAAATCATTTGCGAAGGCAACGTTCTTGATATCGTAGTTGAAGAGATTATCAGGAGATTTCTTGTTTGATTTTAGTTGTATTTCATGAAAGTAACTATGATATTTCCTTTCATAAATTTTTGTAAAGCAGCTGTAGGAAATGGGCGTAACAGCGAAGAAAATTTTCTTTTCGACGATTCATTTTCATGAGCTGGACAATCATTATTATTATTATTGTATCCTTTAGTTCTTAGAGGAACATAGGGCTTCAGCTGCGCACCTCCATTGCCTTCGGTTTCCTGACAACTTTTTCACCCTGCTCCAGGTCTGTCCACATGCTTTCATCTCCTCCTCGCATGACCTCCTCCAAGTCACCCTTGGACGACCAACTCGCCGCCTCCCTTTCGGGTTCCACTCGAGCAATGGCTTGTCCAGTGATGTCACTCACTTGATGGTTTCCTCAGCGTATGGCCAATCCATCTCCATTTCTTTCTGCCTATTTGTTTCACAATCGGTTCCTGATTGGTTCGCTCCCAGAGATCCCTGTTGCTGATGTTTTCTGGCCATCTGATCTTGAGTATTGAGCGGAGACAGTTGTTAATGAAGGTTTGAAGTTTGTTTGAGATGCTCTTTATGACTCGCCAAGTCTCTGATCCGTATAGTAGCACTCATCTCGTTGGCGATCTGGGCAGCTTTCCCTGTCTCGTACATAGTGAGGACGTTCCATGTTCCCACACAGACTTTTTCTTTTGGTGCAAAGAGGTTCATTTTGCTGAAGGTTCTGTAGCAGCTTTGTTTACAGGGTGGGGTTACTAGCCTCACGCCTGAGAAAGGAATGATTACATTAAGTTAAGTTTAGAGAGAAGCAACTTTTTGGGTTGCTCCCCTCAAAATCAGAAAATAACACATAATTATATTTAACAAAGAAATCATTAGACCAATCAGATACTGGTAAAATTTGTCCTCGAAAAGTGTATTACGTAATGTAAGATGCAACCTAGAAAGGATGACTGATATGAAGTTAGAAAAGAGGCAGAAGTTGGCATGACTAATCAATAAGCTCGTGTAGAATGGATGGGAACTAGTGGAAAGGTGATTGAGTGTTTTTATTATAAAATCTGTATGAAAATGCAACGTTAATAATAAACAGTAATAGAGTGATAATAAAATATTGATGATGGGAATAATCATGATGATAAAATAATAGTAGTATTAACAATAATAATAGTAAACTTACATAATTAAAAGAAGCGAAATTAGAGTAAGAACTTTACTCCGGTCACGATAGGACAAGTGAATGCATGTAGCGCTTTTGAATGTAGATGTCCGGTTTCAGATCTTGAGTAGCCGATGATTCAACTATGTACAGATGGCGTATGCCAAGGCCCTTCGTACGATATTGAAGGATTCTGTGTACCACTTTAAAGCATTCATGCGGGGGTGCTGGATGTCCAGAGATGACAAGGTGTTGAAGGATGGAGCTGCTACCATTCTTCTTTTCTCCTCTGGCTAACCAAGCTGGACAATATTCCAGAATACGTTTGTGGACTTGACGTTGCGTACGGCCGATATACTTTGCTCCACACGAGCAAGTAAATTAATAAATACACATTGAGGTGGCCAAAAGCAGTATCTTATCGTTAACGTTAGACTGGATTAACTGTCTGCTGGAGAATGTGATACGTTAGGTGGCTGTTTGAAATGTCTTCTTCAAATATTTATAAAGGTGGTTTCTAAGAATTTCTGCTGCGATGTCACCTTCGAATTCCAGGTTCATGAAAAGAGTTTTCCTAGGAATAGTTGTGAGTTTTGGCGATGGAGGCTCCTCTTTCATGTTTTTGTCTATGAATCTTGGTGGATACCCGTTCTCTAGTAGGGTTTCACGTAATAAATCTAATGCTTTCTCTATTATGTCTTCCGAACAGGTTTCTCTAATCCTTGAACTTAATGTAAGTACCAGGTTTTGCTTTCGAATCAGTGGGACGAAGCTCTGGAAGTTTATAAACTGTCCCGTCCATGTTGGTTTGCGATATATCGATCGTTGGATAGATTCTAATAAAGATTTCATGATGTGTAATGGTCTCATCAGTACCACTCCACATACATATGCCGGTCACAACTGGCAGTGCCCGTCGCATCATTGATTGAAATTATTCACTAGTTTACTTGAAAACTACACAAATCTTTTGGCTTTAAATGTCAAGCATCGTCCAATGTTGTTCAGTAACTAACTTTCTGAACCCTCATAGATATTTACTGATATACGAAGTCTTCCACCACCGGTAAAATGTTGATATTAGCCTTCGATCAGTTTTTGATGTCGATATATTGTCTAATTGACAAGCTTGGTATGCAAGCAATCCACCAAACTATTGTCAAATCACGAAGTTTCTGAACGCTGAATGCTATGTACTGCATTAGTTACCGTGGGATGCCTAATTCATGTGTGTAGTCGAATTCTGAAGAGGGTCCAGCATGCGAAATGAGTGATCTACTATTATACTCTTCAACTTTCTTGTTAGTTAACAGATTTGAACACGGAAGGAAAACATGAGTCTCTTCAGGGGTTTAGATGCCTCTTTTCTGATTATTGATTGCTACTAATATGCAACATAGGTCAAGTAGTGATTCTTATCGATTGATCCCTAACCTTGGTTTTATCGAAACCTAACGCGCCTTGGTAACACTGTAACTTAGCTTAAGTGTGACACAGTGAACTGGATCAGTTAATTCCAACTCTAGCAACTGTGAGTCAAATGGATTAAAAAAAAGAAAGATTCGCAGTAAATTCTTTCCTCCGCACTGTTAACAGAGGTTGGCGGGTAGAAATTGTTCTACAACCTCATGTGATGGGTTTATGACAGCTGTTTGTCCGTCATATTGGTTTTTGTTTAGTTTTCTAAGTGTTATCTATGAATTGTTGTCCTTTTTATTACTCCTACTTCTTTTTTTTTCAAGCGTTTAATCAAAGAAAAGGAAGCACATATTGAACAACTTTTACAAGAACGTGAAATTGAACGTTCCGATTTAGCTAAGGTTACGCTGGAAAAGGAAATGGTACGTGTGATTACTGATTTTTTTGTCTTTATTATGTCGTCCTGGTACGATTATATATATATAACAGGTTATGTATTTCCTTCAAATTCAAAGTATTTCAAAACACTGGTTACTAGTGAGAAAAGAACATCTGTCTTTAGGTTAATATGCATGATGGGGGGGGAATGCAGGTACATCCAATTGATGAGTCCCGAATTGGGACGAAATGCACTCATCAGAAAAGGACTATTCTTTTTGGATAACTTCATCAGATTCTCCAGTTATATGTCTATATTAGTTAAGAAATAATTTGTGTTGATAATATTAATGCTTTTTAATAAAGTATAAATTTTTAATTAAATCAATGAGATGGAAAACATCTGTGAGGTAAATGTTGGTAATTTGCTACTAGATCACAGTTCAACGCGTATGTATGTATCTATGATCGTGTGCATAAATATAATACTAAATTGAATGTTATATATCACAACTAAGTGTTCAAGATTGGCAGTAAATGTATGGTAATGTGAATCTCCATGATTTATTGTCCAGCCTTTTACTCTTATACTCTTACTAAGTATATTTAGAGCACATTTTTGATAGCTTTCTGTCACATCGCGTCTTCACTTATGTAGTGTGTCAAAGTGAAGCCTAACTCTTACCTGACTTTTTTGTAAATGGTTTCAAAATGAAATTCATGTTTTAAAATGAGTGTGTACGTGTGTGTGGGATAGAGATAAAAGCAGTCGTGAGGGGTTTTCGCGCATGGTATAGTAAACACCATAACAGATTTCTCATCCGTGTTAAAAATCGACTGAACACTTTTAGAACAGCCGAACATAACATTCGACATGATTACAGTATCCCTTTAAGCAAGTTTTACAAGAACGCATAAGACCAACTACTTGGGGAAAAACAAATCGCAGTTGACCGCCTCTGCTTTATCACACAAAGCTGACGGAAACGGAAGGAGGAAGGTGAATCTGTTTTGCCGACTACTTATTTACTCATCTCCAAAAACCTAGGAGAAAAAAATACAATAGAAGGTTAGATGTCTAAGTGTGTGTTTGTGAGTCAGTGACTAACCAAAGATTGACGTAAGGGTAGAATTTGTGCACTCGTACTATATAATCTTCTATAGTTTGGTTTGTAAGGGTTAGTAATGTTTTTACGAGTTGATCACGGATTGATATCAGTTAGAGAACCATTGAAAACCAGGGAGTACTGGACAGCTGCTGTTTCATCCTAGTTTGGGAATCATCGGCATTACGCACCCACTGCCACGGTTCGAACCCAGGACCTTCCGGTTACAAGACCAGCAAGCTCGTACACCATTCAGCCACTGAGACCCGATCCAATGGCTCATGAATTTTAACTTCTACCAATTCGTGATTTAGCGCGACCCCAACCATTGTCGTTGGTGGGACATCCATCCATACACGTGACATCTAATTGGACCTCACTGGTCACGACTTCTCACTAGAACTCAGGAAACTCCAACCTGTAGTAAGTCACTAGCGAGCATCAGGTTAACCTTCTATAGTTTGGTTTGTAAGGGCTAGTTATGTTTTTACATATAATCTTATTACAGATAAGTTCATTATTATTAATTAAAATAATTTGTTTTCCCCTATGAATGAAAAACAAGACGATATTGTTTTTGCTGACGTTTGCTACTTAAGACTTATAGCTTTATCAAAGTAATATTAGATGTTTCATACATTTAGTTCCCTTGATAAATTTCGATAAAGAAAGGAAGACGAAATTAGCAGTATATATTGATATCATTCTATTTAACAGGTTTTCATCACCTTCCATTGACTACCTGAAATTACAATGGTTATATAGATGATAATAACATACTTCAATGTTTGAGTGGTAGTAGAGAAGAGATGCTATAAAATTGACGCATCCAAAATGAAAGCATTACAATTTTTAGTTTAAGTTTTCATCATCAATTTATACGCTTTAAAAGTTGAAAAGAAGAAGGGGGGGTAAGACAGAAAACAGAAAAAATTGATTAACAGAACAGTGTTAGCTTGTAGGTTCGTATAGCAACTTAACTCCAAGAAACCTGTGCCTGAAAGGAAACAAATATTCTCAGAGTGTAATTACCAGACATGTTGTTGATACCGGACATCCTAAACAGAGAGAATTAACAAACAGTGTTAGCTTGTGGGTTCACATAGTAACTCAAAGAACAAAAGCGGTTAAAGTATATAAGACTGAGATTTGTTCAGTGAGTTGACATCACTGAACAAATCTCAGTCTTATATACTTTAACCGCTTTTGTTCTTTGAGTTACTATGTGAACCCACAAGCTAACACTGTTTGTTAATTCTCTCTGTTTTCTGTCACACCCTTCCCCCCTCTTTTCTGCTTTTAAAGCGTATAAATTGATGATGAAAACTTAAACTAAAAATTGTAATGCTTTCATTTTGGATGCGTCAATTTTATAGCATCTCTTCTCTACTACCACTCAAACATTGAAGTATGTTATTATCATCTATATAACCATTGTAATTTCAGGTAGTCGATGGAAGGTGATGAGAACCTGTGAAATAGAATGATATCAATATATACTGCTAATTTCGTCTTCCTTTCTTTATCGTAATATTAGATAAGTTTATCCGATATAAGACATAGTGATACAATATCAAATAATTGGATCACGTTTCGAGCATAATTTATTGCTTATAGTCATATCATTATACTAATACGTCCTCCCAAATTATTTTATATACGGATAGACTGTCGACTTATGGATCCAATGGACCCAATAATTTTGAGGTCAATTACATGGGTCGAGGTCAGTTAGGTTACCGGTATATTTTGTTGAGTCTAGAATGGTTGACCCCGCTAAGTTAAATAACCTTAAAAAAGCTTAGCCATTGCTTGCATTTCATCACACAATAGGGGTGGGATATGATTAAACTATTAGGAAATAGTATAGTTAAAAGGAGACTTACCAAATATTTCTTCATAGAGCCAACACCTGTTACTTACAATAGGAGGATTGTTGAAGCACAAATAGCCAGGTCAGGTTTTTCATGTACCAGAGTGAGAGCCACACTTATCATGTGAGGGCCGATGACATCACCCAGTTGCCCATACTCAAATGTGTGTGGCGGGACTTGAATCAATGACTCATCGACTAAAAGCCGAGTGTTTAGTCCAGTTAGCCACATCTCTACAACACCTCTCCTGAATGTATGAAAATAGCATTTAGATAGGAGAAGTCGTATGGATACATGGATATGATTGTGAGCAGTAAGTCGTGATCGAATCATCATTCAGTTATTATTACTGTTTCACTGTGTGTTATAACAAACAAACGTATTTAATATGGAATTACTTAAGATAAATTAAAAATGGTTTGTTCGTATAAGTATAAATATAGAAAAGTGAGCAAATTGGCTGAATTTGAAATGTTGCCTTAGACTCGCTTCGTTTTCTCGAGTCAGTTTTTTCTAAGTTGCACTTATTTTTTGTTGGATTATGAAACCTAGGATTTCAGATAATATTTTAGTCAGTCTAGCTGATCCTTTCGTGACGACAGAAGGATTCGTTCTGCTGATTATAAAGTGAGATGATCAGTCGTTTACAGCAGTTTAGTAGAACTATCTTGGAACCAGAACGGGAAGCAGAGAGTTGGTCGTCCAAAGGTAACATTGAGGCGGTTATGTGAAGAGAAGATGAAAGCATGTGAGAGGACGTGGGGCCAGGTGAAAACGTTGGTAGAGAACCAAACGCAGTGGAGACGTGTGACTGAAGTCCTATGTTCCTCTAGGAACTAAAGGAAACGATAATAATAATAATAAATAATCTTGCATCCTAGTACACCATCTAATACCTTTGTTGTTTTTGCCGAAGATTCTCCAAGACCTGGGGTCATATCATCAGATCGTGTTGCGTCGCCTCATTTTACATTCTAGACGGCTTTCGAAACCTCGTCTACATTTTAAGGACAGATTTCTATATCCCATCAAGGTTGACGGTAGAGGGGAAGTAACCGTAGGTCAGTGTAACCTCTCCTCAAAGCGTTCCGTCCAAGATTTCTCCTATCTCTTCTGGGTATGTATCATGGTTCCACCCTTCTCAGAGATCGTTTCCCTTACGATAGCTCTTATAGAGAGCCCTTTTTCTTCATGAGCTTAAATAGTGAACAAGCATTACCTACTTCTGGTACCTTTCCAAACTTTTACAGTTTCGTCTACCATCATTTTTTACAGTCGTTGAAAATAATTTCAGTCGGCTGACGTTTGTGCAGTTGTTATGAGATGGTCAAGCATTGCATTGAGTAAGGTTGGGATTTAGTTGCCTGATTAGCATTCATTTATCTCATTGTTTTTTTTTCCGTTAAATCAGAAATTATTTCTTGTCTTGTTTCTTCTTCATTTTTTATAAAGGCTCAAGCAGAGACAGTGAATCAACGGGCTGTTATTCAACAACTGAATCAACAGTTAGAGAATATGGAAGCTGTTTTGCAGCATTTACGCGATGAGCATGAACAGGCAACAATTAAATTACATGAAGAAAGAAAGTAAGCAGTTCTCGATTATTGCGTTCTTTATTTTCCCAACAGTAAATATCCAACAACAACAAGAACAACAACAACAGTAAAGAAGTTGTTCTGATGGAACTCTAGTCGGTTTATCAATCAATCAATCAATCAATCATTATGTTGCATTTTTTTATTCAGCCTTCAGTAACATCCTATTGTTTTTGGAAAATCCACTAAACCCTCTTCTGTTTTCGCATCTACTAAATAAGTTCTTGTCGAGGTGTGGTGGAGTAACTTCAGCACACGACTTTCAATCAATAGGTCCCGCGTTTGGATCCTGTGGTCTGGGCAGTTGGTTAGTATCGTTAGTCCCCATACATTAAGTAAGGCTTTCATAGTCCAGTACTGGATAATTGAGATCCAGCTAACTAACTAAATAAGTTTTTAGATAAGTAAAGTAAATTTATAAGCTTCATTAATAGTACAGTGCGTTGGTGGTACAGCGGTTAGGACGCTCGCCGACCATGCACATGGTCCGGGGTTCAATCCCCGGCCGACGAACTCCTCCCTTACCTCGCTAAGCCAGAAATAATGCAGGTAAAGAGGAAAGGTTGGGCATGAGGCTAGCAACCCCATCCTGTAAAATAAACACTTCTACAGAAGCCTCAAGCCACTAGCTTGAGGCCCTATGTTCCACTGGGGAACGTGAAGGAAAAAAAAAATTAATATTATAGTAGTTGAGTCTACTGGCTAATGCAACAAACCTGTGGAATCAGTGGGTGAACGTTCCTTTTTATAATTTAGTTTATAGAGGTTTTTAAGACTATTGCTTTTGAACAAATCTTCAAATTTTTCATAAATATCTTTTTTGAATATATGATATTATTCCACCAATGAGGTATCGTTTTTTAATTGCAAGTGTATAATCTAACTTTCACGATTACCACTACCGAAAAAAACTTAGATGTATTTATGCATCTGACTTCAGTTCAACTAATCACAAAATGATTATGAAGAGCAATTTATTCTGTCTGGAGGCTTTCATCTAGTTTTCACCTTTTTGTAGTACTGTGACGTTTAGGGCAGTTTTATTTAAAGAGGAAACCAGTTTCGCTTGGCTTCAGGAAATGTGAATCGTTGGCCATCTTGCTCATCAAACTGGATGTCGTGTTAGCATTCTATCTTTCAGGTGACTCGATGGGTGTAGGTTATCATGTGTTTGAATATAAAGTGTTAATCACGCGGTACCATAGAACGATGTGTTGTAACACTTTATTTATCTTCTCTGCTAGCATATAATTTAAATAGAGCTTCTTAAGAAGGGTTAGTTTGTCAATGAATGCCAGTATCCTTTGCGTTTGCAGTAAAACATAGAGCTCCAAGCTGGATCTTTGGATTTTCAGTAGCAGTGGTGTTTATTTTATTTCGTGTGGGATTGCTTGCCTCATGTCCAACCTTCATTTTGCTCACAGGATCTGATCTTCCGACTGAATTTGCACAGAAGTGCAAGTCTAATTCACCATACTGCATGTGTACCATAGGAGATAGAGAAACAAAAAGGGATTTCAAAAGAACTATTATGAACAGAAATGTACGGGAGGAAGAAAGAATAGTAATATGGCAAAACATTTGGGTTCAATCGATATGACACATGACAAAAAGTGAAAGACTTCATAGACTGACTCCAGGTTTTAGTTTGATCACTACTAACATTTCTCCAACCCATCCTATGTCAGCTGAAATTGTGCTCGTTTAGGAAGCCGATGCATCGGCATGGTCAACACGTACTCTAACTGTCTCAGTCAATGTAACTTCACAACTTCGTCGATCAACTTGTTCTGCCAATCTAGCATTCTTTTTTTAATTTTTTTTATTTTGATTACAGCTTGATTCCACACCGTATTTTTGGTACAAGTATGGAATTTTCAGCGTGGATATCGGTAGCCCGAATTTCGCAGGCCGATCATAGATATCAGGTGTGCGTCGGCGTGGGCTCGAACCCCGGACCATGTGCATGGTCGTCGAGAGTCCTAACCACTGTGCCACCGACGCACAGTGGCCTAACATCAATATTACTCACCACATTATAGCGCTTACATAGACTAAGCAAGGGTCAGGAGTTCATTGGCGGGAAATGGAAACCGAACTGCGTACTACGTGTGTAGTGAGCATTCTGACTGACTGGTTTCAACGTAGAACTTTGCACCCATATACAGCAGTTCGAGATGCCACACTCCCTCTATGTAGCACACAAAACCAGAGAAAAAAGTAAAAAGAAACGCAAAATATAGACGGTGAACAGAAATATGAAGCATAAAGAATAGTAATATGGCAGAACAATAGGATTTTATTGGATATTATGAATCACAAAAGTAAAAAGAAACGCAAAATACAGACGGTGAACAGAAATATGAAGCATAAAGAATAGTAATATGACAGAACAATAGGATTTTATTGGATATTATAAATCACAAAAGTAAAAAGAAACGCAAAATACAGACGGTGAACAGAAATACTAAGCATAAAGAATAGTAATATGACAGAACAATAGGATTTTATTGGATATTATAAATCACAAAGAGTGAATGAATCTGCACCAGCCATTGACAACGATCACTTTGAGCCATATCACCAATTGTCCCCCGCCTTCATTGGTTCTTACCACACCAAGAACCCCAACCAGTCAGTCAGGAAGTCTACACCTCTCTACGTGACTGGCTGACTTAAACTAACTGTTGCTGATTTCATTGACTATTGAAGCCATGTTTCGTTTGACCACCACCAGTAGGTGTTTTCCAACGTGACCCCATGTCAGCTAACGTTTCTCGTCGGTCGAGGAAGGCGATGACTAGGCATACGTAACACATGTCCTAATCATCTCAATCGGCTAACCCAGGGATGGCGTAAACTGGTATATGCGAAACTAGTCTTCTGTATCCACGTTGAAATTTCGTCAGCGATTAACCCACTGACGTTGTCTGATATAACTCTCCAAATAAGTGAAGCGGTCAACGTGCTCTACCACTTCACTCCCTATTTCTATGCTAGGAGTTAATGTAATCCAGTCCTGTAGCATCACCCTTTCAAGAAGCACAGGAAGTGAGCATTCTACTATTAAATCACCGAGATGTATTTAATGAGAAAGATAAGTAATTTTCGGTGTACTTGTTGTTCTTACCTTGATTTAAGAAAATAATAAATAAACAAAGAATTAATGAAATATGTGTACATTTACATATCTTAAACAAGAAAAGAAGTTATGTATACAACATGAATATTGACTACAACAACAACAACATACAATTGCTATGAATGCATAATCAACCTGTGATATATCTGTGTGTGTGTGTGGGTGGGTGCGTGCGTGACCTTACAGTGAAATGTTCCATTTTCACTGTTGCTTCAATATATATACTTCCATGTACAGTAGGTTTACTCCTATTCACTTAGTTATAAAGAAGCATAAATTCTAGGTGAAACTTTTCATTCAAATATTATTGTTTCCTTTCTAATCAAGTTTTTCTCAAAGTTTTCTATCTACTTTGTACTTAGTCACATTCGTTCGTTTTTGTAATGATTGTTTGCATTTCTTTGGGTTGGTTAATTGTGTTGATTGCTATAACTCACTATAATTCCTTTAATTTACTGTGTATTTTGTATAATTCTGGGTTTGACTTTGTTGTATATTTGTGGCTCTTCAATGTGTGAAACTGTCCTATGCAACGATGACATTACACATATTCGATGACCGGGAGCTAATTTCACTTCATATTCTTTTCGTGATTCGTTTGTTAATCTATCTATCCTCTTTCGTCGTACAGATGCATTTATTTATTTTTGGAGGTAGAGGTGGCTGATGAAGGTTGACAAAGTCTCAGAACTTATTACTTTTTGGCTTTCTGGGAAAGATAGACTGATATGATAGTTTGTTTGGCAGTCCTGTAATTTGGAGGTTGTCTGGGTTAACTAGGGTATTAGTTAATGTCTGGGAATCAGAGATATATTTCTATCAGGCTAGTGTAAAACACTGATTGTAACAGTTTATAAGAAAGGAGACAAGTCTTCCTGTGATAATCATAGGGGAATAAGTTTGACTAATGTAGTTCTGAGCAGGAGTCCGGAGAGATAAACCCATGAAAGCCAGTCATGCCGAGGAAGTATACTGCACTGATCAAGGAGCTCTCCTCGAACTCACAACCGTGTCGGAGCTTACGAAGAGTTTTGTTGTCAGGGATGCCCATCGTCATAGATACATAATAATATTACTTTTCCCTTGAGTTCCGAGTGAAACATTGAGCTTCAACAGCACATCTTCTTCTCTGTAGTCCTTTTTGCTGGCTCCACGATTGCTCACAATCTTTCATTTCCTCTTCACACTGTTTCCTCCACGTCACCCTCGAATGAATGCCCAGTTCGTCGCTTCTCATTTGGATTCCACTTGAGGATATGCCTAGTGCATGATGTCACTTGAACGGTTTCCTCAGTGTATGTACAATCCATCTCCATTTCCCTCAACATTGTTGGTTGTTTCGTTGCTAGAGTTCCTTATTGCTTATCGTTTTTGTCTGATCATCTGATATTCAGTACAGAGTCAACTGGCCAGCTGATTAGTGAACGTTTACGGCAGGCTATTGGAGAAAGTCTTTTGGTGAGGCGTGTTCCAGGTAGCTGAACGATATAGGAGGACTGACGTGACATTAGTGTTGAAAATTCGATTGTTTTTCTTGATGCTCTGTATAAGATTGTGTTCACAAACAATCAATGCTTAGTTATATTTATTATTCCTGCAAGTATTGTACCGAGGTGACGATTAGTTCATTCATTTACCTTCAGCTAAACGTATCTCACGTTCAAATACCTTTCCATCTTTTCCAGCCTAGAATATCTATGTTTTTAACGCATAGATGAAACTGCTTAGTTGTTTATTTGTGCGTATGTTTGTGTACATTGATAATATCACTTTGTGTATAAAAGTTTTAAGGGTGATCATTTTCATCACGAATTGACTTCAGTAAGAGAATCATTGAAAGCCAAGGATGGGGTGTTAGATTCTTTCCCAGTGGATGTACAGTATATGAGTTCGCCGTTTGACCTGAAAGTCCTTGGTTCGACCCCTGGTGATTGGGTCGTGGAAAAGTATTGCTGAATAGTTTCAAAGGACGACCAAACGCCTGTCCTCTACTTCCTTGTTTTTTAATCAATCTAATCCTTGCAAATCAATACTTGAAATTTTTTTATTTTATTTTGTTTGTTTCTCATAGAAATCTAGAAGATTTACAATTTCGAATGGAAGAAGAGAATATTGACAAGACGACTTTAGAGTCACAGAATGCTGATGATGAATCGAAAATCTTTGAATTAGAAGAAGCTTTAATGTCAGCTCGTGAAGCAAATGAACGAATGGAAACAGAGTTGAATAAAGTTCGAACAGAATTAAATAACCTGTTACAGAAACAGTCACCGGAAACTTTAGCTCTACTTAATGAAGGTATATCACAAAAGCAGGTAGGATATTCTTCTCATCCTCTTTGTTAAACCGCTAAGGTATTGAAAGTTTCATCTTTTTGATGTATTTTTTTTAATTCTATTATTTCATCAACAATGTTTGTAAAAAGTGGATATATTTAAAATCAAGGTATGCTGTACAAATATTTCGTCCTTTTATGAGACTTTTCAGCGTTAGGAAGGATCGAATCAAGGACTTCTGTGTTTTGTTTAGTTAACATCGCCAACATTTTTTGATTTTCATCTCTACAATCTGATGTTCCTTTTGAAGAAACGTCGATTTGATTTTAACCTTTATCCTTTGATACTAGTTTAGGGATAAACCATATTAATTGGTGGATTGTGACTAGCAGTGGTATCCAGAATGCGTATTTCATCCTATTTGGGACTCGCCAGCTAGTGGATATACTTGCATTCCCTAGTAAGTGATGATATTCCCCCGGGGCTCGAACCCAGTGCCCATAGTTTCAAATGCCAGAGCGTTATCCTCTATACCACCTGGGCCACGAGAGGGACCTCTTGTGCAACGGGTCATATTAGTTATTTAGTTGAATTTTAGATTTTCCTGTTGGTTGATTGAACCGAAGTGCTCGGTCTCAGATTGACATGTTGGCGTCTTGTGCAGATGCTTCAACGATGTCTGGGCGTGTGTTAAGTAATTAATATGACGCGCTGCACAAGAGGTGGCTCTCGTAGCCCAAGTGGTCTAGTAGATAACGCTCTGGGATTTTAAACTATGGGCACTAGGTTCGAGTCTCGGTGGGAACATCATCACTCACTGGGGAATGTATGTACATCCATTAGCCGACAAGTCCCAAATAGGACGAAGTGCGCATCCTGGATTCCACTACTAGTCACCATACACTAATTAGCGTCTAATTACATGCCCAGACATCGTCGAAGCATTTGCACAATAAGCCAACGTGTCAACCTGAGACCGAGCATTTGGTGCGATCGATCAATCGACGGGAAAATTTAAAATTGAATTAGGTAAACTACATTAGCCTAATTTAATTTCCGTATTTCTGACTGATTGTATTCCACTGAAAGGTTGTTTCTGTTGACATGTCGGCTTTTAGTAAGAGCTCTTCGATGATGTCTGATAACTAACCTGTTGTTATTTCAAACGATTGGTTCTGGGTTCGAGCCTCAGCGGGAACACCCGCATCACTCACAGGGAATCTGGATATGCCAAGCTAGCCAGTGCTAAATAGTACGAAATGTCTATCCTAGGTTTCACCGCCAGTCACCATCATTCATCAAATAACAACGTGTGAAATGTATCAGGCTAGAGAATATGCCATTCAGTGAATTAGCTGAATGATAGTGTGAATCCAGTGTGTGATGACTTGATAGTATTGTGTTTATTCTTGCATGATGATATAACAAGTTGTGCAGTATTGTTCGACTATTGAATCTCTTGTTGTCTAGCCTCTGGGTTGTTATTGTTGTCTCTACAATCAGTTACTGATCCAAAGCACCGTCATTTCTCAAATAGTTTCTACTTCAATAAACCACATTTTTGTCAGTCATAAGAGTATTGATCAATGATATCTTCTTTACTCACTCTCATTATAATCATGCCATGAGTTTAGATTGAATTCTTCTACTTCTTCTTACGTCATCTGTGTACTTGCTTGTGTGTTCGTTTGCTTACGTGTTCGTGTAGCTGTATGTGTGTAGCTTGTAATGAATCACAAATGACAAAAGTAGATATGCCAGTCTGTGTGTACATAGTTTTATTTAAGTACGATAGATACTAATCATAAAATATAATAATAATGGTAATAATAATCGATTTTAAACAAAGACTACAATGGTTATTTCACTGTTTTTTTTCTGTACAAGGTAAACAATATAAATTGTATATGTAGTAGATTTTTTTTTCAAATATTCAAATTTCCTTCAATATAACCAATCCATAAGATGAAAACGTCTCTTCAGATCAGTGTAGAATACCATGATGTACATTTATTCAATTCACTGTGAATAGAGTTTTCCTCTCTGAAAGAAGTTTCATTTTTCAGGTGTTTGTTTACAGAGATTTGATTGACTGCAATTCAGATCATGGGTTAAAAACCAGGCACTAGGGAATAGCTGTTTATTTTCAGTTTAGGACTCTTTAGCAGTGCTCACTCATGACGCTACCTGGAATCGAACCCTAAATCACTAAGCCACGTTGAAGGGATCCAAGAGCCAGTCGATGAATTCTAATTTCTGTCAGTTCGTGATACACATAACTCCATTGTCAGTCAGTGTTGGCGATGGCGAACATTTGCTGTCGCAATCGACCTTGTGGAACCCACCACTAGTTATGACTTCCCACTAGAACTCAAAACAATTTTGAACATTTGTACCACTTTAGGTTTTCGCGAGGAAAGGTGTGAGTTACCTAGTCGGATTGTTATGAAACAACGACTAGAGAATCTAGGTGTTTTTTATTGCTTGTTTTGAGTTTAACACTCGTAAATGCTGCGCTAGAATATTTTCTTGTAGGCTTGATGTATGGAAATTATTCACTAGTAGATATAGTCCTATGGTTTGAAAGTTTTTCTCACCCGACAGTTTCCAGTTCAGATGTGTGACTCGTGTAAATGCACTCACCCTCGAGGGTGAAGTTGTTGACAAGTTCGTGTATCTAGGTAGTCGTGTGAATGCTGGGGGAGGTGTGACGAATGAAATCTCTAATCGTATAATGAAAGTCAGGGTGCACCTATTCAGACCACCTCTGGCGCCGTCGTGACGTTAGCCTGGCTGTTAAAGGTCGGGTTTACAATGTTTAAATGCGCGAAGTCTTGCTATACTACGCCTGTGAAACTTGCCCTCTTCGAGCTGAGGGGGGGGGGTGTGCGTTGACTCTTCGTAGTCAACCATCGCTGTCTCCGCAGAATTGCATCTACCCGACAGAATCATCGTGTAAGTAAATTTGAGGTCCAAAAGAGTGTTATTGGACACGGTGAAAGTCAACATTCATTGAGTGCAGTCATCTGGAAACACCGGCTCCGGTAGCTGGGATATGTGCTGATACGAATGTCATCTTATAGGCTATCATACCGGTCTCCGTTTGATAGCCCTCTGGCTTGATGGAAAAAGTGGGGAGGTGGCCGTTGAGTGGAGTGGCATCGTGGGTTGAAGAATATTTTTGTTAGGTTATCATGAGTTGGTGTACACCACAACTCGTTGGTTTGGGTGCGAGGGATAATTTGAATCGTTGACTCAAGATGTTGCCGGATATGGTTATAAGTCGCGATCAGTGTTGCAATTTTCTCTTTTCATTTTCTGGAAGTAACATGAAGTAGTGAATATTGATTGATCCTGTAAAGTATTCATGCTTGCTTTCTAGGTGACGTTTCTAATTTATGCTTCTTATTATCTTTATACATTGTTGATTTATTATTATTGTGTACCCATAATGTACTAAATCTAATTTTTGAATAAATACGAATACAGAAGGCGCGTTTGGCATACGCTAACTTACGCCATCTCTGGCTTAGTAGACGTGGTATCCGGCTGTTGCTGAAAAGCCGTGTGTACTATGCAGTAGACTGCTCCGTCCTCCCTTATGGTTATGAGACATGGTCATTGAATATGGAAGACATGAAAAGCCTGGCTAGCTATCTCTGATCACAGCTGTCTGCGTTCTATCTCCTGTGTTAAGTGGTATACTAGGGGGTGAGCAATATTGAGTTTAGGCCTTAGTCGAGTGCTAGGTTAGGAAAGGAAATCAATCGAAAAGGCTGTGAAGGTACATCGACTGAGATGATTAGGACATGTGTTACGTATGCCTAGTCATCGCCTTCCTCGACCGACGAGAAACGTTAGCTGACATGGGGTCACGTTGGAAAACACCTACTGGTGGTGGTCAAACGAAAACATGGCTTCAATAGTCAATGAAATCAGCAACAGTTAGTTTAAGTCAGCCAGCCACATAGGGAGGTGTAGACTTCCTGACTGACTGGTTGGGGTCCTCGGGATGGTAAGGACCAGTGAAGACTGGGGACAATTGGTGATATGGCTCAAAGTGATCGTTGTCAATGGCTGGTGAAGATGCATCCACTCCTTGTGATTTATAATATCCAACAAAATTCTATCGTTCTCCTATATCACTACTCTTTTTGCCTCATAGCTCTGTCCATTATCTCTCTCTGTCTTTTGAATCATTCTTTACCCATTCTCTAGCTTTGTTTGCTACATGGAGGGAGTGTGACAACTGGAACTGCTGTACATCGGTGCAGAGTTCTGTGTCGAAACCGGTCAGTCAGTTTCAATGAAATAAATTGTAGACCTCACACATTTGTACACAATCCAGGTTTTGGATCATATACCAGTAGTTTAGGAAAAAAGCATCCTGCATTGTCCTTTCTTTAGGCACATCAGGCTGAAGTATAGTGAGCGGCACTTGAAGCAGGAATACATTGAATGTTATGTTTATATATATATATATATATATATATATATATATATTGAAATACAGCAGATGTCCGATGTTAATCTTATGAGTGCTGTTGTTTTCATGTCATGGAGTTCATTTGTTTGATTGGATGGCATTTCCATGATATTCAATGATAATATAAGTAAAATAATGTAAGTGTTTATGAATCCTTATTTTTTTCATAGGATAAATCTCTTCAACGTTCTGAAGTTGTATCGGAAGTGTCTATTCCACCAAATGAAAAAGATGAACAAACTTTAAAAGAAGAATGTGAACGCCTACGTGTACTGTTAGCTGAACGTCAAACTGAGGCAGAGGATTTGTTGAAAAGACAATCTGAAACAATTCAATCACTGACTAGTGAATTTAATGAACAGATTAAAAAGTTGAATAGTGAATTAGAACACTCATCTGTGTAAGTCTCCTACATTGTTTTTGCTAATTCTTTTGATTTTCTATAAATAACTTTTCGTTTGTAGTATTCCAATTGTTATCTGGTTTTTCTATCTGTTGCTGAGGTTTTTGATTTTTTTTCATGATACTTTCATCTAAAACTCTGTGTATATATAAGGCTGAAACACATGGAATACAGTTCTAAGGTTAGACACAGATCAGGCCGTAGACCATGGTGAGGGAAAAGGGTCTGTAAAAGATCTAGACTTCGCGTATGTCTAATGTTACACAAACTCTATAATTTACAATTGTAAACCATTAATTTGGTCAAAGAGGTGGCAAAGATCAGAATGGCTTCAAGGGAACATAGAGAAGATCGGGGAGATGAATATACCTAACTGCCAAAAACAACCACCAATCACCAACAACATAAGAAATCTAAACGAAGTTGTCTCTTTCACTTACCCCTCTGTGCACAGCATCATTTCAACTACAAGCGGTGGCACACATGAGGATGTCAAAGATAGGATCGGAAAAGCCAGACAAACCTTCATTATCCTACACTCAGCTTGGAGATCTACTGTACTCAACATCTATAACACGATTCAGATTTCCAACACTAATATCATGTCGCTGTCTACATGGTTAAAAAAACTTGGTGGGTTCTATACTAGAAGCATTTCCAACAGACTGCAGACCTTTATGAACAACTGCCTTTTCTGCCTTCATACTAAATAAAGACTGGGATGGCTGATCGGAGAGAATACACGGGCAACCGGGAACTCTGGTGGCGAATCAACCAAAAAGCCATAATCCAACAAATATGAAGAATATAACGGAGATAGAATTCAATACACACTGAGAGGATTGTTGAGTGACATCACGTACGAGCCCCTCAGGTGAATCCCGAATAGGTTTAGATTCGAGTGTGGCATGCAATAAGTATTTTGTGTGAGGAGGAAATGAAAGCTCGTGGGAAGTTGTGTAACCAGGTAAAAATAACTGCAGAGAATAGAGTGAAATGTAGGGGTGTGCTGCGGAAGCTCTGTTCCGCTCAGAAGCTAATTAATTAATGACAATAAATGTGTTGCTGGTACTTATCTGTCACTTTACTCAGTGGACAGTATTAATGAGGCGTGATTAATCTGAAGAAAACCTATAGGTGGTCAAATATTTGGATTTCATGCATTTATCGAATTCTTAACTGTTAATCTGAGCTGTATAACTGGTATTTGTTAGTGTAGCATGTCCGCAATCATCGGCTGAGATCTTTTGATAACTTCAGTAAGAAGTTAGCACTGAAGATGTTGTGTAGAAAGAGCATGAAAGCTTCTCAGTTAAACTAACCAGCTTATAAGACACAACCATACCAGCATCGTCTATTTGAGCTGCAAATCTTCTCCACCATTTCTAAATGTGATTGTATTTTGGCTTTCAGTTTTGTTTAAAGAGTAATACAATACGTCGAATCGTCTTGTTTACATTTATTGTGTGTTATCGCGCGGTTTCTCTACGCACAATTTCTTGTCGGTGTGTGTTTAGTGAACTCTTAACCTTTGCCGATATTACTGAATGACGAATTCACTAATTTTATATATTTATAGACTGAAGTAAGATGGGAAATCGATCGATGATTAAATTGTTATTTAATATTGTATAATATCAACTACTTTATGATGGATGCATTTCGGTTATCTGTGATTTTAGTTAGTATAAGTGTGGCAAATATTCAGATGATACGATATAAACATCAAAATAACGCGTATTTTAAGATTTCAGAATAATGTTGAAATCTATTCTCGCTATCAGGCGTCGGTTTGCAGCATAACTCAAATTTGTGGAGGGTTAAAAAAGATTATATAACGTTCGAAAGAGTGCGGTGCTCATCTTCCGTGTGGCTGTGTGTGTGTGTGTTGTTTACTTTGAAATCAAAATTTCGAAAAGAAGTGTTGTCTGTCGACTGAACTTTTCCTACGTATCAGTGTACTTAAAGGTGATGTGGATGATTATAGAAAAGCTAACTGTTTATTAGAACATTTCTAATCTTGTAAATTAATCACAATTGTATACTTGAACAGTTTGCCAGTGTGTCCTATGAATATATTTTCCAGGCTAGTGTCTATTAATTGGCATCATTCAACAACTTATCCTCCATACCTGTCCTTAGAACTCTTTAATTTCAGCTATAGAATGCTTGGAAACCACACGTGTAGTCCGAGTTCTGATCCCTGGCCGATATACTCCTGAAATTCGCTTAGCTCGTAAAGAAGGAAGGTTTGGCGTGGGGTTAGCAATCCTATCCTGTAAAAAAAGATGCATCACTGCTACTGAAACTTCAAAGCTGAAAGCTTGAAGTCCTGTGTCTCATTAGGAACTTATAGAAATAAGGCGTAATTTATTATGAACAAACGAAGCAAGAACAGCAAGTGTAGCAGGATAATAGCAGCTCATGTGAATTCTTTTTCGGCTGTCCACAAGCTGAACACCAAAAAAAGTCAAACATATTTTTTCCATGTTGGCAAAGAGTGTAACAGTAGAAGACAAGATACTTGGCAACGGAGTGTTCATTTGGAATTTGATATGCACCTATAGGGAAATTATGTACACTTAATATGAAAGTCGTTATTTGCACAGATCTTCTATGTTGAGCTAGTTCTGTCGTTCGCATTGTGTTTCTTTTTTCTTCTTTTCGTGTGATTGCATGGAGGATTTCATCATGAGCTGACATCATTTAGAGAACCACTGGAAAACCTGGGAGTACTGGACAGCTGTTTCGTCAGCCTAGTTAGGGACTCTTCGTCAGTACGCAACCACCGCCTCGGTTCGAACCCAGGACCTTCTGGTTACAAGACGAGCTCGTAGACCATTGAGCCACTGAGACACAATCCAATGGTCCTTGAATTCTAACTTCTGCCAATACAAGACATATCGCGACCATTTTGCAATGTCTTCTTTGATGAATTACTGCCTCATCTTCAACCTGTTGTACCCTACTGGTCACGGTTTCCCACTAGAACAACAGGCTAACTACTTGAATAGGGCCAGTCGCTAGGGAGCATCAGATTAATTTCTTTTCGTGTCTCCTATGCTTTTCTGCAATACTGGTTCATTTTCTCTCTTCGACGTCAAGTCTATCTCTCCGCTATTTTTGATATTATTGTGTCGATAAACGTCGCTTAACATATTACTGAGAAATTTTGTCAGTAGCATGCGCTAGAAGAGTAATTGTGATAGGAACTAAGTCCGGAATGATGATGTAAGAAGTTTGACAATTTATAGGATAATCAAACAAGTATGCTTGAAAAAAACACAGCTTAAAACGTCACTTTGAAAGAAATGTTTTCTAGCTAGGAAAAGTATGTCAGTAAAATGGGTTACGTAAGTCTAAAAATATCTTTTATAACAGCAAAAAAGGAGTAAGATGAGTGACGTCCAGGTGAAAAGAAAATTTTCTAAACAGAACAGAAGATATAGAACAATAGATGACATAATAAAATTGTGTTACTTTGTTTAATAAGTTTAATCACTATGGTAGTGTAAGGTTCACCAATGTCTCTATTTAGGCGTAAATAGTTTTATTTTCAAGCGTTTAGTGCCGATTACTTAAGCAAAATCTGACAAGGTTAGATTTCGTTAGCCTGTTGATTATATTTTGAACGTTTTAAGATTGCTCTCAATTATGACCACTAGTGTCCAGTAGATGACATATAATTGGTTTGTGTAATGCGTATTAACTCTTTCGTCACAGGTCTCTTTTGATATGTGCAAACGATAACCTTTCTCACTGTCCTTTCAGTGTATGTATGTTCTTTGGCCGGGTATGTGTAAATTGGTAGTAGAGGTAGTAAAATGAAGTGGGAGTTTGTTCATCTTCGGTGAATGCATTTCATTTATCGACTCAATGTATTTGTTTTTTTTTTACTAAATTCTCTTCACTTTCTTACACTTCTCGTTATAATAATTACTGGGTTTATGGTGAATACATTTCAGCTTCGAAAGTGATTACAGATTTAAAATCAGATGATTTTCGAGTTGTAGAGTGACAAGCCTAATAGTAAGTACTTAAATGACAGATATGATGAGTTGAATATGATTAGAGAATATTGTGAAATGAATGAAAATGACACATAGTCATCATAAATTCATGTAGTGTTAGAGGACAGTAATTTATATACTAATTCATGGTTTAGAGGTCTCAACCAAGTTCAGATGTAATGGTTTGAAAAAGATTGAACTTTGGATGTATGATGATCATTTTTATAAAAGATATCTGTTCTATCTTAACCGGGTTGATAAATGTCTTCAAATCCAGATTCAGATGATAAAGAATCATGCGCTCTTATATACTGTATTAATCTTTTTAATGTGTAACCCTCTAGAGATCTAATTTCTTTTTGAAAGCGTTCACCGATTAAGCTGATATCACTTAATGAGGTAAGGAGTTCCAGTCGTTGGTCACCTTATGTAAGAATCTAAATGCCACACGTACTTTATTACTCCACGATCTGATCACCTTTTTTGATGACTTCTCAAAGGTATCGTGGAAGGATAAAAGGAAATTTTAGAATGGTCAACACCCAAATCACTTCTCCTCCGGCGGGATAGTACGAAGAGTTTTAGGTGTTCCAGTCTCTTCTCATAAGGGAAGTTCCTACCGGTTATGCTTTTTTCAAGACTCTTTCAATCTGATACAAGATGCGTAACCTTTCTGATTGAGGCTGGCAAATATTTTCGAATCTGTATATGGAACCTGGTTAATCGTTACGTCTTGATAACATGATACACAGAAACATTTAGAGCTGTTTTGTAATTGTGTTCACCTCAACACGTTTCTCACCTCTTACACAACTTGGAACTATTCTGGTTTTTAATTATCATCATATTTTATAACTGTAAGAATCTGAAGTGAATTTGTTGAAAAGAATGTTCGTCGTTCAAAGCGACTTTCAGTTCATACGGTAACTGAATATTTTAGACTCTCAAATCAATGTATATTTTTAAAAATTGAATTTGAGATTTCCCCGTCGATTGATTGGACCGAAGTGCTCGGTCTCAGGTAGACATGTCGGCTTCTTGTGCAAATGCTTCGACGATGTCTGGGTATTTAATTAGAATTTAATTTGTGGATGGTGACTAGCAGTGGAATCCAGGATGCGCATTTCGTCTTATTTGGGACTGGTCAGCTAGTGGATGTACCTACATTCCCCAGTGAGTGACGATGTTCCCACCGAGACTCAAACCCAGTGTCCATAGTTTCAAATGCCAGAGCGTTATCCACTAGACTACTTGGGCCACGAGAGAGACCTCTTGTGCAACGGTTCATATTAATTATTTAATTGAATTTGAGATCTTCCCGTCGATTGATTTGACTGAAGTTCTTATAATATGACCCGTTGCGCAAGAGATGGCTCTCGTGACCCAAGTAGTCTAGTGGGTAACGCTTTGGCATTTGAAACTATGGACACTGGGTTCGAGTCTCGGTGGGAACATCGTCACTCACTGGGGAATGTAGGTACATCCACTAGCTGACCAGTCCCAAATGGGACGAAGTGCGCATCTTGGATTCCACTGCTAGTCATCATCCACAATGTATATGTTCTTTAAAAAATAGTAACCTTTATGTTGTATGGATATATTTTATTTTTATTTTTGTTTTGGGTGTTGATTTCAGTGAAATGCAAGCCTTCAAAGATGAAAATAATGCATTAAAACTACAGAATAATGAATTAGTCGTTAAACTGAAAAGTGAAATTGAACAACTTAATAAACAATTGACAGAACAAGAAAAATCTGCAAATGAAAAATTATTAGCATTTGAAAAACGTATTACAGAATTGGTAGGTTTTACTTTATTATTTTTTTTGTAGTCTTAGCAGTCTGACGTTAAAACTGTTTTGTTTTATTATTTCATTCTCTTTGGGAATTGGCTATCTTTTGCACGGTATTTTCCCCTCAACTACTGATAATAATCATTCCTTTCTCGGTTTAAACAGTTTTTGTTTATCAATGTTCGTGTGTGTGTGTGTGTGTGTGTGTGTGTGTGTGTTACTTAATGGAGCTCTGGGTTATTGGCCTTATCTCTGGACTTCCAACCAAACGGTGAAACGGTAGAAGACAAAAGACTCGGTAAAGGAATATTTATTTGGAAATTGGTATCTCTATACATATAGGCAAATTATGTACACCTTATCTTCAACTCACATTTTGCACAGATCTTTGTATTGTGGTACTTCTGGCCTTCATATTCTATTTCTGTGTGTCTCGTCTCCCATGTATCTCCACAATGCTGTATCATTTGCTTTCTCTGTCATCAAGTATATGTCCTTGCTGTTTGATGATTTTATACCGATGAACGTCTCTTTACATATACTACTGATAAGTTCTATCAACAGCACTCGACACAGTCGGTCACAAGTCCATTTCCGCTGCATGCATTCAAGTCTGGGTAGCCGTGAGCAGTAGAACCAGCCCTTCATGCAATATCTGGGTAGTTGTGTGAGTGCTGGCGGAGGGGTGATGGACGAAATTTCCAACCGTAGCATACATCAACTTCAGTCACCTATGGCACCATCGCGACGTTAGGCCTGGCTGTCAAAAGTCGGGTATACAATGCTTCGGTGCGGGCTGTCTTGCTCTACTCTTGTGAAACCTGGCCTCTCCGAGTAGGCTAAGGATGTGCGGCGACTCTGCGTGTTCGATCATCGCTGTCTCCGCAGGATTGCTCGCGTTCGATGGCGTCACCGCGTAAGTAATCTTGAGGTTCGGCGGCGTGTGTTTGAACACAATGGAGATCACCATTCATTGAGTGTCGTCATCTGGGAACAGTGGCTCCGGTGGCTTGGACATGTGCTGCGAATGTCATCCCAGAGGCTTCCGTACAAGTCTCTGTTCGCTAGCCCTGGGACGGGATGGAAAAGGCGGAGAGGTGGTCAGTGCATGACGTGGAGTCGTGGGATGAAGGATATTTATGCTAGATTAGCATCGGTTGGTGTGTCACGACTCCCGGTTGGAGTTCGCGAGACAGCTCGAATCGTTGGTTCGAAAGGTTTTCGGATGTAGCCATGAATCGTAATCAATGGCGAACGTGTTGCAATTTCCTTCTTTCTTCCCTTCCCGATGATAGTTAACGAATACTGTTTGAGCTTGTTAAGTATGACTGTTTTTCTTTCGGATGAAGTTCTTTATCCGTTCTCTACTCATATTTTTACTTTTAATCTATGTTGTTTTATTATGATTGTGTGGCGCATCTTTCTTGGTGCCATATTGTACCAAGCTTTTTTTCTGCGTTTAAATAAATAGATAAAAATCATGCAATGGATGTAGCTGATTGCCAAATGCATAGAATAATTACTCTTAGTTATTGAGTAACAATGAGATTTGTCTGCTAATTAGGTAGATTCATTTATGAATATTGAACTGTCTACTAACAACTACTGAACAGTTGTTAGGTATCAACTGTTACAAGGATTTATTGGAACTTGATATTTCAAAAAAGAAACTAATTAGTAGTGAACGGAGAATATTTATTCTTTTCGGTAGCTTCTTCTTTGTTATGTTCTACAGTTTTACGCATTCAAAATGGTCATGTTGTTAACAACACTAATGTTTTTTGTTTAAAAAATGATATCGAATCAATAATATCAGTAGATTACAACTGAAAAGCATATGTGTAAGTGATATTATGCATCAGTTAGGTTAGGAACCTCAGCAAAAGGATCAGAGTTATATGTTCGCAAGATATAATTAAAGATGAACTTAGGAATGTTGTTTATGACAAGTAAATTGAAAATAGCTCTCCAGAAAAGTTCATCATGGTGAAGAAAGAACATATGGCGAAGAAAGTCAGAAAGAATTATTCCGTAAACAAGAAGCCTCTATAAGTGCAACCGCAATTTATAGGTGGCATACCAAGTGAAATAATAACCAATATGTTGAAAAAAAACATTTCGAAGTACTTTCAGTGTCACTTAAGGCTCTTCGAACAAACTACAGACTTTCATTAACAGCTGTCTCCACTCACTACTCAAGATCAGATGGCCGGCCAGAAAAGATCAGCGACACGGATCTGTGGGAGCGAACCAACCGGAAACCGATTGTGCAGCAAATATGCAGAAAGAAATTGAGGTGAATTGGCCATACTTTGAGAAAACCATCAAGTTACATCACACGCCAGGCTATTGCTTGAGTGGAACCCGAATGGGAAGCAGCGAGTTGGTTGTCAGTGCGAGGGTGAGGTGACATGGAGGAAGTTATGTGAAGAGGAGATGAAAGCATGTGGACAGACGTGGAGCCAGGTGAAAACGTTGACGGAGAACCGAACGCCATGGAGACTTGGGCAGCTGAAGCCCTATGTTCCTCTAGGAACTAAAGGAGGCAGTAATAATAATAAACTACAGCTAATATTTTCCAATGGACCAGTCGTGATTCCGAAGCAGAAAGACGAATTGCCTAGGCTAGCCACGTCTTCTTGTACCTATTTATTCAGCTGCTGCTGTGGAACCAGTTATATTTGGCTGTCGTTCTAAGAACATTGTGTTTTTCTTACTTGGGGAACACCTTATGCTGTGATCAAATAAAAGTGTAGTAAATACTATGATATTTACTAAAGTTAGATATTAGACGCCAAATACTACCAACAGTTGGAGGCCATTGCAATCCGCTTAAATCGGTCAAAGATCTGAGTGCAAAAGAAACAAATCCAGTCACTAATGGTACCCTGACCTACTGCAGAACCTATAAATTCATAAATTCTGTCTCATTTCTCTTAATTTATCTGATATTCAGTATGCTTTGGGAATTGTAATTTATATTCATATTGTGGGTTCTGTATTATTTAAAACATTTATTTTGCTATTAACAATAACGGATAACTGCAGAACCCAAGTGGAGAGGTTGTCGAAGACAGTATTCTTTGTTAGTTAATCCACCTTTCAAAATCTTTAATAGGCATCTTCAACCAGTTGAATATTTCACTAATAACCAATTATAACAGTCTCAAATAAATTTCAAAGTAATTAGACGAACTGTTAATTCTCTCAATGTCCATGGTGGACATTGGTCTGGATTTTAACGGAAGCATATGAACGCCACTCTAGTAACTGTGCCAGTTGCCTATCATGAGCTAACGTTTAGCTCAGATAAGTAGAAAAAAGTTTGCCTAATTATAATATTGAAATCTTATTGGTTGTTTATTTCAGTTTGATGCATAAGATGACATTCATTTGTACTGTAATTTAAAGTTATTCAGTTTATCGATCTAGGTCATGATTACTTCACGTGTGCTATAATGCAGCAAAACTAATTACTTTTGAGTAACGTTATTCACTCTAGCTTGTTACAGCTATCATAATAAGGTGTCTGTTTTCGGTAAAAAAAAAAGATTCCAAAAAATAATGTCTTTAGTACGTTAGAGTTCACCTTGCGATTCCTGTATTGAAACCGTCTTCTTATTGATTAAGGTTTATTTGGACGAGTCAGGATCATAGCCCCCATACTTAGACTAATAAGTAGTTTAAGGAATGAAATCTTTTTAAATATTGATCGAATGATTTAGCGTCATTACAAATCATTGTCATAAACGAATATGTGTCCCCACATCTATCCTGATTGACCTCGTTGGTCACGACTACTCACTAGGATCCTATTGTTAGTCACCAGTGAGCATCGCATTAATTTTTTAAGGGTTGTTCTGTGGGGATTTGATTGATTTCAAGTTTAGTACTGGGTTAACATCAGTTAGAGAATCATTTAAAACGATAGGAGAGTACTGGACAGCGGTATCGGCTTTGTTTGTGACTCGTCAGTAGTACGCACTCATGACCTCACTCAGGAGTGAAGCTAGACGTTTGAATTCATGAGCTATGGGATTCCGTCCCGGTAGCTAAATGGTTAACAAGATTGCTTGAAGGTCCTGCGGTTCTACTCCTGGTGGGTTGAAGGGTTTCGAACTAGGACGAAATAAATGTCCAATACTATTTGCTAACTAATATCAGTTCGTGGTCAAATGTCAAAACAGTCAAATTTCTACAAACTAACACTTAAAGAATAAAATACTGTTGCCTTTTCTTGTTACGTTACGTATAGTGTCTGTGACAACATAAGTTGTCATATCCATCAGCATCCCCATGATGACTGTATAGAATTCACTTTAGAGCGCACAGATAAGTTGAAGTAAATAAGAATTAGGTGGCTCTGCTACCCCGCTCATCAGATTAACTACTTGGCTTTCAATCCGTGGGTCAAAGTTTCTACTGTGTCTCACCGATCACGACTTGTGCAGTTAGTTAAGAACAGCTGCCACACCAGAAGCTTAACTCACTGTGAGGTTCGCTTTATATGTTCTTTTCAAAGAAATATTAAAGTGTTTGAAAACCATTAAAGAGTACAGTAATTTTTACGGCAAAATCTTATTGTTCATGGTATTGTTTTTATTGCTTACCAACTTAAATATGATAATGTTAACCAATGGTACAGAGTCATATTGATTTTCTTTCTTTCGGGGACTTAATATGTGAATATGCTTAAACCAATGTTTACCAAAGTCAAGTCTGATCACGAACTGATTTCAGTTAGAGCATCAATGAGAACCACCAGAGAGCTCTGGATATTAGTATCAGCCTTGTTTTTGACTCTTCAGCGTTACGCAAGCATGAACCTCTCCGGCGGCTGTCGAAACAAGGACGAAACAACTGTCCAGTACTACTTGTTGGCTTCCATGGGTTTTCTAACTGACGTGTCACTTTAAAAACAATTTAAAAGTATAACAGATATTCACACTTTGTACTTAAATTGGATGTTAATCAGCGTCGTCCACTTTTTCTCTCCTCTCTATGCAATTTAATAAAATTATAGAATAATATGTTAGAGGCAGAGAAGTTGAAATCAGCCTCATCGCCAGCTGGTCATCATCAACAAGCGTGCAGTGAAGAGTTAAACAATTTGAAGCAACAACAAAAAGCCGTCTTAGATGATTTGACAGAGTATCATGTAAGTCAATGAGAAAATCTTTGTTTTAGAGTCGATATTGTTTTTATTGCATTGGTATTTAGCACTAAACTACTTTTTCTCAAATCAGATGTGAAATAAACTTGGCCTTCCTGAGCTCAGAATGCGTGGCGACTTTGCGAAGTCATTCACCGCTGCCTCCGTAGAATTGCGTCTACCCGACAGAATCATCGTGGAAGTAATTCCGAGTTCCAAAATAGTGTGTTTGGACACGATGAAAGTCACCATTCATTGAGTGCATTCATCTTGAAACACTGACTCCGGTGGCTTAGACATGTGCTGATACGAATGTCATCCTATAGGCTATCATACCGATCTCTGTTTGCTAGCCCTGTGACTTGACGGAAAAGTGGAGAGGTAGTCGCCGAGTGGAGTTGCGCCATGGGTTGAAGAATATTTTTGTTAAGTTATCATGAGTTGGTGTAGACCACAACTCGTTGGTTTGGGTGTGAGAGATAATTTGAGTGATTGGCTCAAGACGTTACCAGATATGGTTATGAGTCGCGATCAGTTCCGCTATTCTCTCTCTTCCCTTTCTGAGAGTGAGCGGATGTATGTTGAATGATTTTGGCAAGTATGCATGTTTGCTTCCTGATTGACCTCTCTCACTTCTTCTGTCCCTATTTTCCTTATATTGTTGTTTTATTTAATTTTGTGTGGTGCATCTTATGGTGACCATAATGTACCAAGCTTGTATTTTTAAAAATACGGATTACAATAATGATGTAAATCACTGTCGCATAACTTTCCTCCTTAATGCATATGAACAGGCTAACATGATATCTCATTTTATCCAGTTGATTTTTGCCATTTGCATATAACCTTAGACAATTCTAGTATTGATGTACAAAATATTCACTCATCTTGTAATGACAGAAGACGAGGGGCAGACAACAGATCGTTTATTTAGGAAATGAAGAGATATTTATATATTTTTATGTATATTATTATTCTTTATTGTTGGCAGAGAAGCGACGTCTTATGATTGGTTGTTTTCCTGCTGAAGGTAATTCTGTCATCTCATTGTAGCCGTTTCTGTGAAGGTCAGACCATATATCTGCGAATCTTATCCGCCCACACTAAGTCTGCTGTGATTGGTTGTTGAGTTCCTCAAGGTTAAGCTTTGTTATTGTTTTTTCTCATAACCCAGATTTAGGACGTAAATACTGACGTCAATTGTTGTTTACAATTTAGTCTTGCAGACAGCTCTTACTACAACCTTAGATGTTGAGCATGAAGATAAAGTGTACTCATATTGCGTAGTTAACTAGCAAAATTGGAAGAATAAAATGTGGTATTAATCTTGTTACCTATATACATAGAAATAATTACAAGAACACTAGATTTAGGGAAGAAGAAGTCTCAAATTGATTAGAGGTATAAAATTAATGTAACACACAGACACATACATTTTACGTAAGTGTTGAGTGTGCGTCTGTGGCACAGCTGTTAGGACTGTCACCGATCATGCACATGGTGCGGAGTTCGATCCTCTACCGACACACACCTGATTATCTATGGTCAGCCTGCAAAATTTGAGCTACCGATAACGTATGCTGAAAATTCCATACCTGTACCGAAAAGTTTGGTGTGGAATCAAGCTGTAATCAAAAAAAAATTTATTTGGGCAGAGGTCAATAAATACTCAGATTAAGAGTATGGATAAAAACGAAATTAATTATTTGAAATTACATTACCATGACAAATTATAACATATAACGTAATCATTTGAAATGAATAAAATTGAAATAGGTGAGTAGAGATCATATTACTCAGGTTGACCTTCATATTACCACCTCCTACTGCATCCGCCGATTTACGTGTACACGCGAAAAAGCGCATACATCAGAAGAACAGAAAGAAGAATTTGTGTTATTTTGATTATATTCTTTTTAGACTACATAATTTCATACTCCTTTAATGTGATCTTAATCCAACGCCCTTGACCCGGACCATATTTTGACCTTTGATGAGATCATTATTACCATTATTATTATCATTACTACTCTAATGACTAATTGCACAATTTATATTCACTATCGTATTATCCTATAGACAAAACACCATGATTGGTTTATATATATATATATATATATATATATATATATATATATATATATATATATATATGTATATATATATATATATATATATATGTTAGAGTAAAGCCTGATGAGATCTAATTGAAAACAATATTGTTCGCTTAAATGTGTTGTTCTAAATTTTACTAAGGGAATATTTAATATATTAAACTAGATAATTTAGTCTTTACGTCATAACATGTCTTGTCAATTTTACATCTTGTATGTATGTGTACATTAAGTTTGTCAAACAAAAATACAATTGCAATGCATGCGCTAACACACAACCACACAATAAGGTGGGAGAGGGTTAAAATTCTAAAAGTAATCTAGGTAGGTGGAGAGAGAGGTTGATTACTGAATCCTTGTTCATCGAGTCTACACCCAACACATGCAATAGGAATGACTCGTCACTCATACCTGAAATATTGAAAATACTATTACCAATCAAATCAAGTGAAAATCAAGAGAAAAACAATGGAACTATATAAATGAATTTAGGAAGTCGTGTGATTACCTTGATATGATTATGAGCAATCAATTGTGCTCGAAGCGTCATCAGTAAACATTACTGTATAACACTGTGAGACTTTATCAAAACAAAATTTACCCATGATGGAAAAATACAATTGGTAATAGTTATTTTAACTAAACAGGTGAAGATTGGTAATTGGAGTTACGTAATACAAAATCAGTCAAGAAAATTAGATGTTAATGAAATTAGGTTAGTAACAAAGGTGATGAGTTGTCACAAACAGTTGTTGAGAGAAGTTATGTAATAATATGAATAGTTTGATGAGTGAGTTTTACTCAGGATGCACATAGGAACAAAGTAGATACTATGAAATTACATAGGAGTTCTAAATGAATAGTTCAACACCGCACCTGGGTGCAGGCAAAATGACTCAACGCCTATACCGGACTTATTAAAAATTGAAACTAACAATAAGGTGAAGAGAGAGAGAGAGAAGTATATATAGAGCGAATCATAAAGCCATGTGTCTCACTTGATATGATTATGAGCAATAATTTGTGCTTGAAACGTCATCCAGTTGTTAATACAGGATCCCCGTGTATTATTTCAAATAAACTTATCCAATAGGGAATTACATTCTACCACAGTGCCCAAGTTCGTCTAAAGAATGATTGAAAAACTATCATGTAGTAGAGGGCAGCTGTTTCGTCCTTGTGTGTAGTCTTCAACAGTAAGCCATCATCGCCACATCATGGTTCGAGCCCAGGACCTTCAGGTTTCTCACTTGTGACTCATTAGGAGATGAAGTTGTCTGAATTTCTAATGAGAACTTGCTATCGTCAATGGCATTCGTTGGCAGCCGCGCTACATATCGAGAATTGACAGGCCGTTGGAATCTCTGTAATTCGCTGAAAAGTCGACTAACTCACCTTGTAACGTGAAGGTTCTGGGTTCCATCTGTGTTTGTGGAGTGATATCTACGTACCGGTGAAGTGTCGCGAACGAGGGCGAAGCAGTTGCCAAGCATTCCTTGGTTTTCACAGGTTCTCAAGCTTAAATCCGTTCGTGATTATAATTGAAATCAATCAAACTGCTACAAACCAGTACTTGAAAATTGTTACATTTACTGTCTTATTCTGATTTGCCTGAACTTCTCCCGGCATCACTGACTTAGTGTGATAGTTTGTACTCACTGATTGCCTTCATTATAAAGGTTTTTTGTGTTTTATATATCGTAGTATTTATTTATTATTCAGCGTATACTAACCAAACCAGATTTTGAAGGTTACTCGTTCACCCTGCTTCTTAAGGATCTTGAATTCTATCCCATGATGATTCCTTTCTGAAGGCTTGCGGGTAAAGATGAAACAAGTTGGTCATTGGCTATTTAATCACTTCGAAAAGATTTACTGACTGGAAATTATGCTTTCATCTACATTTTAGTTTGATTTACGCATTTATGTGGGATAATCTGGGTTTCTTATAATTTCTAGTCATACTACTTACTAGCTACCTAGTAATATTGTGGGATTATCGTCTTTTTAATAGTAATAAGAGTCACTTTAATTTGTCAGTATTTTGAATCTCTTCTTTTCCCTTTATTGATCTGTTTTCTCTGTACTTTTGTATTTCTGCTTCTGGCGAATATGTCATACCATATATTGATAAAAGATGCATAACTGAAAGGGTCATCTACTATCTAGTAAAAATATTTAGAGATACTTTGTTCACTTATTCTGTCGATTTTCTCTGTGCGTTTCAGGGTACTTATAAATCATATGGGTCTAAAAAAGTGAACAAGAAGACAGCAGATCGTGATTGTTTTTCATCGGAATGATAAATTAACTTCGTTTTCATCTCTTTGAGTTCCGAGTGGAACACACTCTCAAGTTAGTTTCCTTTCCAACCTCATGTGATCTCTGGACCTACTTCCGGCTAGATGGCAAGGTGAGGTCCTGGAATGTACCGCCTGGGGATTCAGCCCCAAATTACGTGCGTAGTTGAGGGCGGGGTAGGTTTTGCCAGTGAACCACTGAATTCCTTTATATTAACTCAAAGGTGGAGGCAATTCAATTCACTTATGAATTGGAAAGTCAAGAAGGCGAGCTTCCAATGTTAGATTGTAGCGTAAAAAAGAACAAAGATGGGAAGTTAAACACTAGTGTTTACAGGAAACTCACATATTCAAACAGATATTTGGACTTCCGATCGTCCCATTCTATGTCAGTGAAAATAGGATAGGTGAAATTTTTAAATAATAGAGCACTAAAACTAAGTGGTATCAATTAAAGTCTAAGACAGGAAGTGAGACATATAAGAGAAGCTTTGAAACTTAATCATTACTCTGATAAAATAGTTAGAAAGTATGTAGGGAAATATAAAAATAAAATAAATAATGATAATAGCGATAGTCATAATGATTGTAA